GGTTTCTCGTAAGTTCAGCATTGATGGTATATCTAAGTTATGTTCTTTGGTATATCGGCAGTGTAAACGGTGTCAAGAAGCAGTGGTCACTAGATTTTATAAAGGTTTCCTAGGACATACTGATGTCCCGTCATCGTCGGTATGGGACACGGTATGTATGGACATTGCTGGCCCTTTCCCTAAGGATATTGATACAGGTTATACAGTAGCATTGGTGTGCGTAGATATGTATTCACATTTTGCTATTATAGTTGGTCTGTGCAATCAGCGGTCTCAGACTATTTGTGGCGCCCTCAACCGTCTTATACAAGAGCATGGGCTTATGCGTGAACTCAGGAGTGATGGTGGTCCTTCGCTTGTGTCATCTTATTTCAAGCGATGGTTGTTAAGTAAAGGTGTTTCCCATAAAGTTGTGAATAAATATTCACCTTTTGAGAATGGCCTCGCTCAAAAGACGATTGGTGGTCTAAAATCCAGTATCCGACTTTTTCCTGAGGTGTTACGTAGTCGGTATCATGATTCCTCTCATTGGTTTGAGGTAGCTGCTAAAGCTGTAAGAAGGCTCAATGATCGACCATATTGGAATACTACTCCTTTTGCTCTTTGGTATGGTCGTGAGCGACGGTCTGAAGAAGAAGTTCGGCTGGCTATGGAACCTGAAGCTACTACGGTGGAAGCTCTGAAGAAGCACAGAGATGAATTTGACCGTGAAAGATACCTTCGTTCGCCAACTGGACGATATACTCCGAGGACCTTGAGGATTTCACCGGGCCAGAAGGTTAAGGTGTTCAGGCCGAGTTCTTTGCCTGGTGTTGGCCATAGTCGAGGTCTGTTGAAGAAGCCAGTATATACGGTAATTGCACAACATGGTGTTGATGTTGAGCTACTAGAGGATGGTAAAGCCTCTGGTGATGGAATTACTGAGCATATTCGTAATGTAAGACCATATTATGCCTAATCTATTCTAGAAAATCTTGAAAGCACGGTCAGGGGGGTGATGTTGTTGCCCAAGGAAATGACCGTGTTGTTATTGCAGTAATCTGATCTAATATCTATGTTTGTGTCCCCATTTGTTTTATTTTACTTCCTTTGGTATCTTAGCTAAGACATCGCACAAGCTGTGCTAGTCGTTGAGGATATGAGAACAGTTGTAAGATAGTTGTGGATACTTATTTCTTCTATTTAATCTACTTGTGTTGAGATGGCTGGAACGCCTACGCACACCGAGACTGAGGACAACGACACTCACGAAGCGCCTCCGCCGGCTGAAAGACGCAGTGGAGAACGAGGACAGGCGCCTGCCTTCATAAGCGGGACGCGCCGCGGCAGGAGGACGGTGCGACACAGCCAGAAGAATGTTTCGAGGGCCCGTCATCTGTTAATCCTGAACCGGTGATCAAGACACTGATAAGGACAGATAGCAGAGGTGAACTAGTATTCTCTAGATACCCGCGACTATCAGTCAAGGCCTGCCGAGCGAAGCGAATACGGCCTTAAACAGCGGATCGCCAACTCGAGAATTGGCGTCGTCTATTTTTATGACCGTCTCACCTCAGAGCAGCCCAGCTGGCTTGATGCTGAGGCCACCCTTATGACGACGGGAATCAGGGCGCTCACGAACGCATGGCTACGGTAAGGAGATCTGCTTCCGTGCAGATCAACTCCTTCCGGACCGCACCTCCTTTACTGCTGTTAGGG